TGGTCCTCATATTTATTTATAAGGATGGGGAACGCCTAGTCCCTGCATTGTGGGAGTCTCATGCATTGGGTATTATTTATTTTTCATTAGTTCACCAACGTATATTATACCTTATTAGTCAGTATGTGTCAGTTCGATGAGATTCCACTAGTTTGTCTCCGGTATTAGTATTTTGAATAGGACCTTTTTAGGTAGTGACTATATTCCCCTTAACAATTGTAGAACGTTGACTTTGCAATTGGTGGTGTATGATGTCATTAATAATTGTTTCAACTTTCAAGCTCTTGTTAATTTCAATTCTTTTTTTAGCGTTTATCCTAAAAGGTTTCAATTGAGATATTTGTTTGAACATGCAGGACCTAGGGAGCTTACAGGTGCTGCTGATTTGATTAACCGCTACAAGCTGTCAGCACACCATGATTTCTTTTGCAAAAGAATTCTTCCTTTGTCAATTTCAGACACACATTATCTCCACAATGTTGTAGGAGACACAGAAATCCGAAAGGGAGAAGGCATGGAGCTGGGTCAGCTCTTTCAGAGTGCTCCATACCTGAGAGAGACAACAGCTCAGATTCAACAATTCAACTTGGATCTACTAGGGCAAGCATTTGAGCTGCGAGATACTGCACCTATTGACTTGCCTTTGGTAAGAATCCTGTCATCTGAATGGGAGTTCATATTTTTGTTGTAATTTCCTACAAGAAGGATTCTTCTGTAATATTCTTCAGTCAGAAAAAGGAACACCAACCATTCCTGGGAAATCTAAAGGAGATTCTAAAGACAAGGGGAGGAAGCACAAAAAACACAAGGTCAAAGATAGAGAAAAGGACAAGGAGCATAAGAAGCACAAACGTCGACATAAAGATCGGAGTAAAGATAAAGACCGAGAGAAAAAGAAGGATAAAAGTGGACATCATGATTCTGGTGGTGATCATTCAAAGAAACATCATGAGAAGGTCCTTTTTCGTGCTTACCATGTTTTTTCAAACTATATGTATATTTAATTTTGTTAAGTCTTGTTCCTAATGTTCTTGGTTATTTAAATATTAATGTTTCAGAAGAGGAAACATGATGGTAATGAAGATTCAGTAGATAATCACAAACACAAGAAAAGTAAGGTAGTAGGCATGGTTTGACTCTTCCTTCTGCCATTTTAGTGATTCTTGTTTCTTCAACTTCATTACTTTTCTTATAATGATATTTCCTGTTTTTTCTCCTCTCATTAAAGCAATCTTCTGAAATATCTCAGCATAAGAGTCTAAAGATTGAAGAAGTGGGAGGGATAAAGGTTTCAAGCTGATAGAAGTTGACTACTTGTTGTCTGTCTTCATTGTCTCACTATCAAGCATGCTGTTGGAGAAGATTAGTTCGAAGGATTTCTTATCTTGCACCAGAATTCTTTGAGGTAATCTGCTTCTTGTCGTCGTGATAACATGGCCAGACTACCCCTTTTTGATCAATTAATTCTTAAATTGTCTGATATAATTTGTTATGATGAACTGATCTGATTTCTGTGTCATGAATGTACTTTATGTCCATAAATGGCTATATAAATTAGGCTTGCCACCATTGTTGTGGCATGTTGCTGGAATCATAGAATCATTATTTTTAGTCTTTTTGGTATCATTGAATATGTCTGTACTCTTTGGCACTTAGGCTTAAATCTACCACTCTTTGTCTCTATGTTCTGAGTTAAAAGTTCAAAAAAGAAAATAAAAAGCTGAAATTATGCGATCATACGCATACATATTAATGAACTAGTTGAAATAGCCCTCTAGAAACTGCCACTAATCATTTTGTGGTCAGGAACTCCATCGTTCAAGGATTGCCATTCTGTGTGATACCTTTTTGGCACGGGCAGAAAAAAAAAGGTCTACTCATATGTCTGCACCTCAATGTTACGTCAACACCTTGGCATGGGTCAGCATCGTGCACACGAATTCTTTTCTGGCGTGGTGCGTTCCATTCTCACATTGGTCGGAACAACAAGCTTTGCCAGTGATCACACTTTAATATTTATATGAGTGTTTTTCTTAAAGTAACTTTGCATTTTGGTTTCTGGGTGAAGATGCAAGTTTTTGTATCATCGCTTTTTCATCTAACTTTCTTCTTAACTTGGTGCATCACCTGGCATGTTCTCTGTAGTTCATGAATTGTTCTGTGTATTTTGTGATGGCTTGACACGTTTGTAATTTCATTGGATTCCAAGTCCAAATGTTACGATTGATAATTTTTCCAAACTACCAAAGGAGCAATGCTACATGCACAAGATTCAGATCTTGAACAAAACTGAGATAAACCTTTTTTTGGAAGGTTATTAATTACCAGGAATACTCCTGCAATTTTGTACTTGTGATCTAAGATGCACATGCAATCTGCATGTCACAACATTTATACTTTTAACGTATTAAGTTATTTTTGTTGATACATCATAACTATTTAAAGACAAATGAGATCCATAATCCATATTACATGTTCCAACTTCCAACCCTAGATTTTATTCAAGAAAAAATAATAACAATAAAGACACCAAATAACAAGACAAAATTAATGAGTTAAGAGTTATTGGGTTCTCTATCACAATTGGCTTTTTCTAAACTAAATTTATAGCTCATGGCTCAGCAACTTTAAATATTTTATATGTTGGAGCTGGTGATTTAACCAAAATGTTTCTGTAGCAAGTCACAGTTCACAATAATGAACCAATTAGCTAGAACACCCACATGTTAAACCTCACTTGTACTGTAGCCTAAAATGTTTCACTTTTCAGTAGGTTAGCAGTAATCTTGGGATATTTTAGTCCCTTTATGAGGAAGATCATGATGTGATGTATATTCTACAAGTAAATGTGGTCTTTAAGGCATAGAATTCTCTTCCTTTAGTTGATTTTGTGGTTATTAAAAAATAGTTCTGAAGTTGAAAATAAAGGTAATTCTTGTATTATTGCAATTATTTGTCATAATTAGTTTGTTTGTACATGTACAGTGAATTCATTTCCAAATGACAATCAATTTGTTATTATCTGGAGTGGTGGATCATTTTCTTTTAAAAATATTAGGTGTAACTTCAGTCTTCATCTGTAGGTGATGAGAAATTTACACTACGTATATATGGTTTAATATGCATGAGAAAAGAACAATATCTGCTTGATGCAACAGGGAGCAGGGAGGTGTCGTAGTTTGAACCCGACGAAGATGATGATTGACGATATATTCACTTAACTTTTTTGTATCATGTGGATCTATATAAGCATGTTAACTTTTGTCTATGGCTGCAATTTCTTCATTAGTTTATCCTGGCATATATTATGTTATTGTTTTCTCCATTATACAGTGTTGTTGTTTTCTTCATTTTTTTTTCTGGCATATAAAGGGTTAATGATCCTGAATGCAGATCTAGTGAGCTAGATGTCAACATTTGGTATTATCTTAATTAGAACTATAGTTGTAAAGCAATCTCATTATGATAAAAATTCAGATTTCATTATATAGTTTTGTGAAAAACCACAAGACCTGGAGATGGATGAGGATGTGGTTTTGAATTGCTACACCATAATCAGAATTGGTCGTTAATAAACTTCTGTTGATGAGCAGTAAGATGTACATGGATTGTACTGGAGATTTCTCATGCCTTGTGTGTAAAAAGATGGTTGTTGTTTTCCGTTGCTTCTGCTCTCTGTTCCTGAATTTCTACACCATAAACACATTTGGTCGACGGTAATCTTCTCTTGATGAGCAATAAGATATACATTAATCTTACTGGAAGTTTCTCATCTGGTGTAACATTATGATGTTATTTGCATTATGGGCAGAGATTTCTCTTCTAATTTACATGAACAGTAAATGACTTTTTTTTTATATCTAAACGGTGATCTTTTGACAGAGTAAGCTGACAAAACAACTATCTAACAAATCTAGTTATCGTCTAGTTACATTGGTAATGCAAGCTTACTGAGAATCAAATTAACAAGAAACAAGTTGTGAAGATCTCACGGCTATGCTCTTAATTTGGTGGAAAACATCAGATCAGGTGCTATTTTGTCTAACAATTCTGATCAGCGAACGTTGCAACTTGCTGACTGGGACTGTTCCTGTCTTTTTTCCTATCACATACATACATATGGTGTTAGGCCAAGTACTACTAAAAGAACTTTGCAAATTCTGTCTATTGCTCCTCATTTTAACTATAGTAATTTCGTATGTTGTTTTCTGTTCAGGTAAAGAGTTTGTATTTAGTTTTATACAATTTATTGCCCTCTTTGAATAACTTTACTGCCGATTGAAAGGGGACGGGAGAAGTGGAATGCTTTTATCAATGGATATTGTAATTTGGAGGTTTGCTTGATAAGTGGAACAGTGAGCTTATGCTTTATGTTGATGCTTGTTTATATAGTTTAATGGAAGTAGCTAAGCAGGGTAAGATCTCTAGTTGTGCATATGACTGGGAGGTTGATCCTCATCTTTTAGATTGTGATCAGAATAATGGCACAGGTTATTGAAAATGCCCTCTGCTGATTCACTGCAATAGTTGTGTCTGTCATAAGAGGTTTATTCTGGTTAGGATAGTTAAATAGGAGATCGAGATGTGAATGTTTCTCCCTTTGGAACACATATTTGGCCATATAACTGTCAGGTGATGTGCAGTGTGGACACAGTTTTCTACAATCTTCATGTGAACTGTATGGCTAATTTGGTAGGGTATACGGGCATCCCCAAGTGGGAAATGGTTTATTGAGCTAAATATAACTAAAAAGTGTGCCATAGAATGGGTAATTATCTCATCAAAATTTGTTCTAGATTGGAAATGCTCTTCAGCTTTCGAAGGTAAAGATAGATCTAAATATAAGAAACGAGCTGAATGGGTGAATGAAAACATTAATCCTATTTGATTACTAATTCTTTTCTTTCCTTTCGGTGACATTTTGAGTGGTTGCAAGTACTCTTTTCATCATGTTACAAAACGAAACGTAAAAATGATAATGCAGATGAAGTAATACTGTTTTATGAACTCATAGTGACTGAACATTGTGAAAGCCACAAGCCAATGTGGTCTGTGATGTGCTGTCTCACTTGTTGCACCGCTGTTGTGCACTGTTCCAGACCACCTGAACCAAAATTCCATTTATTAGATCATTTAATCCTAATCCATAGCTGGATGGATTTTCAAGTAAATAATTCATCGTAAATCACTAATTCAATGGCAAACTTTCTTTAGGTTTAATATTAAATCTCTTATTTGTTAAATGAATTCAATCATAGAGTGAGTACCTTTAATTTTTGAAGCTGACTTAGGGCAACCAATGATATCGATGCCATGCGCGCAATTGTGACATTTGATCAAGTAGGAAGGCACTGAAACAATTCAAGAAAGCATTATTACATGTATTACTGGGAACCCATTTGAATGAAATGTTGGTCTTACAATCTTTGGTTGATGTTTGCTTGGATGCATGGCGCCAAGGATCTTGTGAGCCATTGGTAAAGATTATTTTTGAACCTATTCAAATAGAAGAAGACAATTAGTTCTCATATGATATAAATAACAATTCATGGACTCTTAAAATCAATGTTTGAGCTTTATTAGGTTTGTGATGGTTATCTTGTTGCAATCATTTAGGCTTGGTGTAAGAGTGTGTATACAAGGGTTTCTATGATTCCGTCTCTTAGGTCATAAAGAAGAACAACTCCACCACCCTATGCTATCTAACTAAAAACACATTTACATTTCTTGATATTTTTCTTTTTATGTTAAAGAAAAGATTATATTGCTCAAGAAAATATTTCTTAAAATACAATAAATAAAACATTAAGAGGACATATGACATATCAAATGCACCAATCACATTCACCATTCGATCTTTCTTTTCAAAGCAATATATATATATATATATATATATATATATATATATATATATATAT